TTTTTTTTTTTTTTTTATTATTATGGAGGACATAATTCCCGAAAAAACAATGTAAAATTTAGAAGTCCTACTATGATATTGTAACAATTAAAATAAGTGGAATTGGTTTTCTTTATTAGAATTGACCTTCAAGTGTTGATTTTTCTAAAAGAGGATAAGGATTGACGTTAAAGTTAAATTAAATTTCATAAAAACTTTTGACAAATAAACTTGATTTGTTTAATCAAGTTGCACGTACTCCGTGCGTCAAATACATTAGTAAATACACTAAATAATTAGGTTCTCAATTTCTAACCATGAGCTTAATTTATAATTAATTATCTTCGTACTAGTACAACACTCGTGTATTATACGGGTATTTGTTAAAAAAATATTCTTAAATTTTAAAATTAATGAGAATATTTGTTTTAAATTTTATTTATTTTTTCAAAATATATATATTATTATATATTTCAGAATAACATTGTTACATGTGCGACTTACATGTATTATATTATAGTAATTTTTTATAACTTATATCGTGTAACTACTTGAAATATAAATATATTAATTGATAAATAATTTAATATTTCTATTAATATTAAAAAACAATTTTATTATCGTTATAAAGATAAATAAAATTTATTTTTTTATACATCCTCCCTATATATAATTCCCAAATGCGCTGGGCCTACGTGGCTGCTTCTGGTGCTTCGGAATCCTATTTGGTGAAGAATCATGCTTCATAATTAGGTTTGGATAAATAATATTGATATATTAATAATTAATAATCTAGGTTCGGGTATTCTATAAATATTATTTAGCAAATTTAGGTATTTTAATATCACTTTTACTAATATAACCTTTTAATTCTTTGTAATTTTACATAGTGATGCACTAAGTGACTAATATATCCATGAATTTTGATTTGTTTCCTTCAATAAGCTATTGAATTATAAATATATTTTAAAAGTTGATAACTTTTGTATTTCTTATCGGTTTTACATATATAATATATCAAATTAATCATCTTTTGATGATTTTCGATTTGACATCCATATTGTATATATATGAAATAAATAAATTATATTTATCTTTATAATAATAAAAAATAATAATATTTATTAAAATTCATTAGAAAAATAAAATTATTTTTCAATTGATATATTTATATGTAATGTAGTTATATATTGTAAGTTAAAAAAATTAGTATAATATAACACAAGTAAGTTGCACAAATAAAAAGTGTCATAATAAATATATAATAATATATATATTCTTATAAAAGGTATTTAAATTTTTAAACTAGTTTTTCTCATTAATTTTAAATTTTAAGAAAAAAATTAGCAAGCACCCGTGTAATACACGGGTGTTGTACTAGTACAATATGAATGTTAAATCGAAAATCATCAAGAGATGATTAGTTTGATATATTATATGTGTAAAACTGATAGAAAATACAAAAATTTATTAACTTTTAAAATATATTTACTATTCAATTGTTATAATAATAAATGATATTAAAATACAATTAATACATGTAACATGACCATAAATAATCCCTAATAATCAACATATTTATGGATAATCCGGACCTAATTATTTTGGTTTGGAAGTAAATTAAAATCTACACAAGCCTAATAACCAAACATGTAACTTTGCCGCATAGGATCCCGAAGCATGCGAGATTGCCACTTAGGCTCAACACATTCTGAATTAATATATAGGGATGAGTTGCATAAGAGATATTCATTAATATATATACATTAAAAATTCTTATTAAATAATATTTATAAATTAAAAATATGTAAATAAAAATTACCTATATTGATTTATTGAAAATGTTTTATAATGTTTAAATTGTGCAAAATTATAAGAAAATGTATATTTAAAATTAGCACTATAATGTGATTCCATCAAATGGTTATTTTGGTAAAATTTTATCATATACTTAATAACATATATGAATAACAAGTATAAATATAAAATTTATATTGTTTTATTACTTAAAATAAATTTGTTTTTGTATAAACTATTCAAATCAAAAAAATTAGGTAGTTGAGTATTTTATTAAACTATAAATAATTAACTATTTTGTTTACTTCCAAGTTATAATGATCCGTAAATTATTGAGTAATTTATTAACCTGTAAATAATTGACTATTTCGTTTACGTCCAAGTTAATATTGATCAGTAAGTTATGAATAATTATTATTTTTTTTTTAATTTTAAATATAATCTTTTTATTGTTTTCAATATATTATATACCAGATTTAAACCATGCAACTAATAAAGGTAATAGCCGCAAGTTTTTCAACGTATTATAAAAATCCTTCTTTTGGGCTTAAGTACTTCCCTTCGCTATTCATTGATTGACTTTCTTTCAACATTTCATTCCGGAATTTCTTTAACGTTTCTTTCTTTCATCGATTTCTTGTGACAGATTTTCAGCTATTCTCAGTCTTCATTATTAATTCGAACTAAGAATAGCAGACATGTGAAAATACGGCTCACCCGTTGCTTCTTGCTCACCTTCTTCAGATTGGATTTGTACCCTCTTCTATCCCGGTTGTCGCGAACCCATTTCGGGTCACACTAGGCTAACCTTAAATTTAAATCATGCAACCAATAATCGCAATATTTGACAAAAATGATTTTGTATATTAATTACATTAATTTAGGTAAATTTTTTCAAATTTTAGCTAAAAAAATTATCCAATTCAATAAGTATGAATATTTAGGCGGGAAACTAAATATGTTTTTACTAATTTTTAGTTACTATTTCATTTCATATTGTTGTCTCTTTATAATATTAATTAATAGGTCATCAATCAATAGGCGTTGTAAGGCACCTTGGAGCAAGAAGACCGAACCAAATGCCTACCAGCAGAAACGGTCTAGCGGTAACGCCTCGGGCTCGCGGTTT